TTAAAGAGTCACAGTGTTAGGAAGGTTGAAAGCCACTGCGCTAACTGAACAATATTAGAACACAGAGGGCAGAAATCAGCTAGGACGTGTCTGGAGAATTTCATGGGGGGCATTAGATCTAGCAGCACCCAATGTCATGTTCTCCTTGTCCGGACCCCCTCCCCTCCATCTAGTGGTTTTGGATTGTATATACTTTGATTTTGAATGTCCTTGCATGTCTGTGCATCTCTCAGCAGCACTAAAGGCAAACAGTTCATCTGGGTCAGTCTGTACCAACCAATGTTTCTGAATGTACACACTGGTGCAAGAGTGTTTGTTTTAGGAAGTAAATGAACTGCTTGCTATGAAAAAAACCAAGTGTGTCTTTGAGGCCGTCATTTGCCTGTGTTTGTTTCTGTGTCTGTGCGTGTGGGTCAGAGCACTCATCTTTCTTTTGCTCTAGTGTAGATTTAGATGAAATCGTATTTAGAGCAGTTTTAAAGTATAGCACAGTATGGAGATAGAAGTCTAGTTATTGCGTCCCGTTCCCTTGGAGGACTGTCGCTTTAGCCTTTTTCTTTTGATTTACAACAATTTAAAAAGGATCCCCTATTGACTTGTTTCCTAATTATTGTTGGTTTACACAGGAGAAGGGAAAGACGTTGCCATTGGGCTTCGTGACGCTCCTCTCTTTGTGTGCTTCCCAGGCTAATACTGTATTGTAAGAACACTTGGTTTAGTGCTGCTCGGCCATTTCAGAAGCAACTACACATGGCTTTGAAACGGGCTACTTAAAGGAAAAAAAAAGACTTCTTGTTTTTAATAAAACGCTTAATGTTTAACTAACACTCTGGCATAGTCTTTGTTTTGAGGGCTGGGAGGAAGAGGCATCTTTCTGATACTTACCGTTTAAATTGTGACAGTTTAGCTCATTAACGTCGGCCGGTGCCATCTGATTGTGTGAGAGAAATCCTGGGACCTCATTTTTAAACTGACAAAAGATTCTTCCGGTTACTGAAGGCTGTCTGGCGATAGAACAATTCTGCAGCCAGAAAGCTGTCCCTGAATCCATTCTGCATGGCTTACATCTGCCTGGACAGTTACACGAGGTGGGGTCACGTCTACACAGGGCCGACAGCCACAGTGACATGATACAATTATGAAGTGGCTTCGGTGCTTAAATTTAAAAATTCTTACACCAGTGTTCCTCTTCTATCGGAATGAACTGCAACAAATAATCTAGAGCCAATTCAAATGACTGGGGGAGGAGACGCCCAGGGAGAGAGGGAAGAGGTGCAGTGTGGCCCTCTACTGGACAGTGTAAGTAAATACCAGCGCTGCCTACTGCAGCCACTGGCTTCTTTGTGTATTGCAGCCTGCAGTTCTACAGTGAAGTGGAAATGAGATCTCTAACTCATCTGTGAGTTAATGAGATCTGTGGGATGGGTGGGGGTAGTTAGGCAAAGTGGGCCTGGTGATGAACACAGTGCATCCTTACTGGGGCTTGGAGTAGCTCTTTCTTTGAAAGGCTACCCGGCTGTTTTACAAATTAGGATCCACAGTTTTGCCTTCCCAGCTAATCCCTTTTGTAAACAATAAAGCTCCTGCACAGTCCAAGATAAGTTGGTTTAGTAACACTGTAAACTTTAAAATACAAGCTATTTGATCAAAGTCAAAGTCCATTCCAGAAAGAGATCTTATTTGGATACTGAGGAAGATTTCTCTGAAAGGTAAGCCCCTCGTGAGATGAAATGGCTCCCCAACCAAACCTGAGTGATCTTGTTGACTCAGCGTACAGACGGCCCCGATGTTCCAAAAGACTGAACTCAGGCTCCTAAAACTCAGTCAATGACATTACAGATTTGGCCCTAATTTATCCATTGCTTCCCTGTTGATAACGGAGATGGATTTGAGATGACCAACGTCCAATGGGACTGAGCTCCCAAAGGGACCATCCTGGGGAAATGGTCAGGAGCCAGAGTGGGGAAGAAAATAGCAACTTTAGAGTTAGAGAAAATGACTGACTTTGTCAAGGAAGATGTTTCCACTTGATTCTGCATGAAACACTCATGAATTAGCAATGTGCCAGCCACATTCATAGGGTAACAAAATGTATTTCCCAGCTAATTGTAAGAGGGAATCTCGATCCAGTATACATTTGATTGCTTTGTATTTTGGCAGGAAGGGCAGAGGATGCTAAGAACCAAACATGCTTTTGCCCTGCTATGTCTTGCATACTCTTCCTGGTAATTGACCATCCCTTAGTCCAGCAAAACCAGCCATGAGTGTCATACTACCTTCTCAATCATGAACTCCTTTCTACATGTCTCTAACGCACTTTACAAGAACCACTGCACACCATCCTATCGCTGAGGATAACATTGTAGATTTGCTTTTGACATGTACTCCAGCTCTTCAAGACCCTAATGTAAACAAAAAAGCCTATCTTTTATACTTCATCATATTCTACTCGGTTTGTTTTCCAGGCTTTCCATCATTAATTAAAGGATCTCCTTTCATCTCTCCCATCCAAGAAACAATGAAACGACTCCCCAACTGCCTATCAGAGACCAAATAAAAGTCAGCCTATCACAGTGGTGGTTATGGTCATGCCAATTTCACAGTGGGGTTGGTGCACTCATTGCATTTTGAAAATGACCGTGCCCTCCATCTGTCTAAGCCAAATGCCTCACTCTTCTCAGGCCAGGACATTGGAGCCACTTCCCATGGAATAAGGAGGAGGACATAAAATGGCTACCCTCCTGTGTACTTCAGCTGCTGTGCTCATAGATAGACACCAACACAGAGAGGAGGAGCCCAAATGATTTCCTTTAGGTAGCCAAGAAATTTGGGAGAAAGCCGACAACCTTTCAGTGTGTGTGTGTGTGTGTGTGTGTGTGTGTGTGTTTAAAATGTCCTTTGAAGGTGGGATGTTTTCACCCTGTAAGTTCAGCTTTGCAAACAGAGAGACTGAAGGGATAAAAGGTCATTTCTTGTTTCCTTGTTCACACATATAATTTAAGACCAGCTTTTTCACAATAACAGTCTACACATAAATATTTATAAATACTGAGTGTGAATTTCCAAGGAGCAAATGTCAGGCAGGCCAGCAGTTGTAAAGGAGACATATAATATTCCTTAACTTTTAAGCTTCAGAGGTCACATCCCCTACCACAGACTTCACCTAAAAAAGGCACCAAAAAAATCAGAGTAAAAGTAAACTCAGATTTGAGAATATAGAAGTAGTCCTTACCTGCTTTCTATGGAGACCTTTGGTGGACCAAAGACTCACTCAACACACATGAAATGGGTAAAATTTGTGCCTTCCTTCTTACTGATGGAATGAATGTCCCGTGTGATGACGTCCAAGAAGTCACATGGCTGCTAATTCTCAGCATGACAGAAGGATGAAAATACCTAAAGTCAGCTGTTATGTAATAGGAGTAAATGTACACCTCCTTCAGCCTTTTCCTTGTGGTACCAGGAACTAGGAGATATACGACCTCACTGGTCATTGTATGTCTGTTTGAGGCTGCAGTTGATAAAGTTCCAGTCCATTGCAGTCCAGTCCAAAGCCTACTGCCCACACCAATTTAGTTGGTTGTTTCTATAGAAAAAAGACTACTTGTATCTTTCCTCATACATACTTGGTGCCCACATTGGGCAGGCCTTTACAGATTATTGGAGACGTGTGGATAGAATCATTTGCCACTCACTGTTTCTCATGGAACCTAGTTCTTGTATTTCATGGTTCAGCCTCTGTGGTGTTGGAATGAGAATGTCCCTCATAGGTTCAAATGTTTTAACACTTAGTTGCCAGCTGATGGCACTGTTGGGAAAGATGTGGCATTGTTAGAAGACATATGTCACTGGCTTTGAGATTTTAAAAGGTTTCTGCCATCCCAGTATCACACTATCTGCCTCCATTTGGAGACCAAGATGGCTCAGTGGAGATGAGAGAGAGCTTCTTCTGCCCAGAATCTGGGTCAGGAACTCAACCGTGACTCTTTGAGTTTGCTTTAGTCATTTCTGGGGAATACTTGGAAAAAGCCTGATTTGATGCTCGTATCTATCTGGTTTTTGGCTCCTGTTATTTCACTTGGCACAGTTACCGAACTAGACACTCTGCTCTTCCTAAGACTCTCATTGAGAAATCTAGCCAGCCTCCTCAATGGTTTCGCTAGTTGATTACAACTAAATATTTGTAAGCCTCCGATTTGATTATATTGAATTATTGATAGATGTTTCTATCGGCTACTTCCTACTATTTTACTTTTGCTTGCAATATTCTTTACAAACTGATGTTAAAAAAAAACCGCTATGTGTAAATCATCTTATACATGGTACATAATGCTTGGTCACTGTAATGTTCTATTAAGAAGTACACACAGCTCAGCACTGAAAGATAATTCTAGGAGTTTTCAAAGTATACAACGGGTGGGGGGAGTACAAGCCGCAAAAAAATCTTCAGGGACCCCAGGCCCTAAGCAGGTTACTGTTCTTCCACAGAGAGGCTGCAATATCTACTCAACAACAAGCAACGCTCACTCATTTTAACTAGTAGAGGGAGTATAAAACGCCTTTTACAGGCCTACATGGCTTGTTATTAACACACACACACACACACACACACACACACACACACACACACACACACACACACACACACACACACAAACACACATACCAAAGAGCCAAGGTTATGTAGACATGAAATAAAACTACAACTCCCAGAATGCAAAGTGGATACATCCCATGGGGAAGTAAAAATGGTGCATGCCGGGAGAAACCAGGTATACAATGTCTGGGCTATTTGCAAAAGTTTTCTACCCCTTCTACGACTTCTGTCTCTACCCAGTTTGTACTCTTAAAACACATGACAAAAAAAAATCAGAGATTATATTAATGGTTCCCAGTCATGCCGAACGCTTCCTTTCTACCTCTGAGCTAACCGCCCCGTTGATGAACTTCCGTTTCCGGTTACCTTGTTGCCGTGGAAACAAACACGCGCTATGATTTTGGCGGCTATGGCGTGGCAAAGCAGCTCTAAAGTTCCCGACGGTGAGTTCACAGCGGTGGTGTACAGACTCATCCGCGACTCCCGCTACTCAGAGGCGGTGCAGCTGCTGAGCGCAGAGCTGCAGAGGAGTCCCCGCAGCCGCGCAGGGCTGTCGCTGCTGGCCTACTGCTACTACCGCCTGCAGGAGTTCGAGCTCGCTGCAGAGTGCTATGAGCAGCTGAGCCAGATACACCCAGAACTCGAGCAGTACCGCCTGTACCAGGCCCAGGCGCTCTACAAGGCCTGCCTGTATCCAGAGGCCACCAGGGTCGCCTTCCTCCTGGACAACCCCACCTATCAGACTCGAGTCCTTCGTCTCCAGGCTGCTATCAAGTACAGTGAAGGTGACCTCCCAGGAGCCAGGAGCCTGGTGGAGCAGCTGCTGAGTGGGGAAGCTGGAGAAGACAGTGGAGGGGAGAATGACCCAGATGGTTTGGTCAACATGGGTTGCCTACTCTACAAGGAAGGTAACTATGAAGCTGCCTGCTCCAAGTTCTTAGCGGCTCTACAGGCTTCTGGCTACCAGCCTGACCTTTCCTACAATTTGGCTTTGGCCTATTACAGCAGTCGGCAGTATGCCCCTGCTCTGAAGCATATCGCTGACATCATTGAGCGAGGCATCCGTCAACACCCAGAATTAGGTGTTGGCATGACCATTGAAGGCATTGATATTCGAAGTGTTGGCAACACCGTAGTCCTTCACCAGACTGCTCTGGTCGAAGCCTTCAACCTCAAGGCAGCCATAGAGTACCAGCTGAGAAACTATGAGGCAGCCCAGGAAGCCCTCACTGACATGCCACCCAGAGCAGAGGAAGAGTTGGACCCCGTAACCCTACACAACCAGGCTCTGATGAACATGGATGCCAAGCCCACAGAGGGCTTCGAAAAACTCCAGTTTCTGCTCCAGCAGAACCCCTTTCCCCCAGAGACTTTTGGCAACTTGCTGCTGCTTTACTGTAAATATGAGTATTTTGACCTGGCAGCTGATGTTCTAGCAGAAAATGCCCACTTGACTTACAAGTTTCTCACGCCGTATCTCTATGACTTCTTGGATGCCATGATCACTTGCCAGACAGCTCCTGAAGAGGCTTTCATTAAACTTGATGGGTTAGCTGGCATGCTGACTGAGCAGCTCCGGAGACTCACTAAACAAGTTCAAGAAGCAAGGCATAACAGGGATGATGAAGTAGTCATAAAGGCTGTGAATGAATATGACGAAACCCTTGAGAAGTATATCCCTGTACTGATGGCTCAGGCGAAAATCTACTGGAATCTTGAGAATTATCCTATGGTGGAGAAGATCTTCCGCAAATCTGTGGAGTTCTGTAATGACCACGATGTGTGGAAGCTGAATGTGGCCCATGTTCTCTTCATGCAGGAAAACAAGTACAAAGAGGCCATTGGTTTCTACGAGCCCATTGTCAAGAAGAATTATGATAACATCCTGAGTGTCAGCGCTATCGTGTTAGCCAACCTCTGTGTTTCCTATATCATGACAAGTCAAAATGAGGAAGCTGAGGAGCTGATGAGGAAGATTGAGAAGGAGGAGGAGCAGCTCTCTTATGGTGACCCAGACAAGAAAATCTACCACCTTTGCATTGTGAATTTGGTGATAGGAACCCTGTATTGTGCCAAAGGGAACTATGACTTTGGCATCTCTCGGGTTATCAAAAGCCTGGAGCCTTACCATAAAAAGCTTGGCACTGATACATGGTATTATGCCAAAAGATGCTTCCTGTCCTTGCTAGAGAACATGTCAAAGCACACAATCATGCTGAGGGACAGTGTCATTCAAGAATGCGTCCAGTTTCTAGAGCACTGTGAAATTTTTGGCAGAAACATCCCTGCTGTTATAGAACAGCCCTTGGAGGAAGAAAGAATGCACATTGGAAAAAATACGGTCACATACGAGTCCAGACAGTTGAAAGCTTTGATTTATGAGATCATAGGGTGGAATATGTAATTACCTGTAAAAGGGTCATTAGAAAGTCTTTTTAGAATCTATATTTCTCTTTTTTCTGCATTTTCTTCACAATTTCATTTTTTTTTTTTTGTTTCTAGTTTGACTCTAGATACTTAACACTATGGCAGCCTTTCCACCCTGGTAGCCTTGGTATCTATGTATTCTAGGCTCCTGCATTTTAACTACTCGACACACTCTGCAGGTGCTGCAGTGGCATCTCTGCAGAAGCAAAGGCATTGAGCAACTCAGAGTTTCTGCTTTGTGCTGTAAAGGAGACTAAGCACTAGTCAGTTACTGGTATACGAACCTGCTGCAACTGCCTAGTAGACCCAGTTGCTGGACCACAACAAACCATCTCCATTAGCAAAGAGAAACAGAAGGCAGACTTCGTTCTCTTGATAGACTGTATACTCAGTAAATATTCTTAAGCATATCGCTAGAGGCTTTTTATTTTTTTGTTGGGAAGCTCATGTTCGGAAGCTTTTGAATGTTTTTAGTTTAGAATTGTTGAACTGAAAAATGGAAAGAGAGGGAAGGGAATGAGTTGTGGATAGTGTTCCGCCTGTAGGTCTTAAGTACTTCCCTTACTCCTCATGATCTTACAGCCCTTCCAGCCCCTAGACCCTTTCTACACTTACTTTTGGCGATAACATCTATTTTAGTAAAATCCATACAAAGAAAAGTTGCCTTTTATAACCTGGAATGATAAGTCTGGTCAAAATGAAATACATAACCATATTCCAAATTAATGCTTTCTAGCATTTTGGCTTACAGAAAATGTTAACCATTTAGAGGAATGCCATCTAATAACTTACTGATTACTAAGAAATTTGAGGTATGTTTTAACCTGGTATTTTTGTTTACAAACTCTAGCCATGAATGTATACAAGACAGTCATTTTATTTCCTGCTACACTGTACATAAACTATTGTATTAATATTTAGAAATGATAAATTACTTATTTTAATAATTTCTTTTAATTAAGAATGGAAATGTCTTAATTTCCTTTTTCAGTTTATCTAAAAACGCATGTTTACTCATTGGAGGAGAGATTTATTCTTAATTAGTTCTGAAAATGCAAAACTACCTTTTTGTTCAGAATTTTTATTGGTAGGCTATTATTATAATGTGGATATCCACACATACACAAACCACTGAGTTATTCTTGGAATATATGGAACCTCTCCTGCCCCTGAGGCGAGGTCTCCAGCTGCCAGTCCAGCAGATATTTGGAAATAGAGAAGCAGGTGAAGGTGTGATAGAGATTCAGCTGTGTGATATACTTCACAGCTCACCTCAGATCCCTGCATGCCCGCATCTCAGAGTTAATCAAATGTCTCCTGCCATTAGCTGAAGAGAAGGAATAGATCGCAGAGTGGAAGTAACAGATCCCAGAGCTGTTTCTGTAACCAACACATCAAATCAAATCATCACTCCTTACACTCTCCTCTTATTTAATACAAAGAAAGGGCATGCAGGCTCACCAAAAGGACAGAGTCACCTACAGTAGGAGGCCAGGCTCCCGTTCATAAAGCTTTCTCTTGGAATGTTTTCTGTCCCTGCCTTCAAAAGGTTTATTTAAGAGATAGAGGTGTTTCGTGCTGCAGAATGTATCACAAGATAAATGGAAAGTCTATCTTCCTTACCAGCCTGCTTTTCCTTTTTTATCTTCTCCTTTTTTTGTCAATTATAGGGACACTGTCCAGATAGCAGCTCAAAGTACAGCCAGGAATAAAGGATGCATACTAACCCTGAGCAGGACGCGCTGAGAAGATGCCCCTTATGATTCCAAGGTGATTCTGAAAGTCCTCTAACAATGCATTTTTGTAAACTGAGCTAACTTTTTTAGAGGGGAAAAAAAAAGTTGACCTTCAGAGAACTCACCAAAAGCCAGCCTGGAATTAAATGTGACGAAGAGAGTGAATAAGTTAGTTCAAAGTAATGACTGGCTCAAAGCATGCTATGCACACAGGACACCTGCAAGGCAGAGGGCAGCATCTGCCAGTCTTTTGTTCTTAATTACTAGTAGATGTAAGTGCTTAAGAAAAGGGAAATGGGACTAAAAGTTTCAACAGCAGTCATGGCAACCGCTAACTTTTTCAAAGTGCCCATATGTTTGTAAGATGTTAAAATGTAGCAATAAGTTACTGGCTGTTAGAAATTTCTGGTCAGGATTTGTTTTATGAAAACAGAGCCTCTTAATTTCTGTTATTTCTAATTCACCAAAGTCATATCCTTATAGCTGATGCCCATCACATACAAAAAGAATATAACGTGGAGAATATAAGACATCCATTCCATGTTTAAGCCAGGACATGCTATGACAAGAGCCAGCCACATCCTAACACTATGAAAAGAAACCCTCAGGTGACAGTTTGCTGAAAAACCCTGGTTACAAGGCACAGGCACATGCCAGTGTTGTGTGTGTATCCTAGAAAAGACAAGCCTTCCTCTGCAGTTAGTGAAATTCCTTTGTTTCTGGGATTTTTATTCTCATACTGAGTCATTCTTGTTTGGTTTGGTTTGGTTTGGTTTGGTTTGGTTTGGTTTGGTTTTGGGGGTTTTTTTGGTGTTTGTTTGTTTGTTTGTTTGTTTGTTTTTTCAAGACAAGGTTTCTCTGTGTAGTCCTGGCTGTCCTGGAACTCACTCTGTAGACCAGGCTGGCCTCGAACTCAGAAATCCGCCTGCCTCTGCCTCCCAAGCGCTGGGATTAAAGGCGTGCGCCACCGCCGCCCGGCAAGTCATTGCTATTAAACTGTTTCTGAAAGAATACAGAAGACCTCAGAACTACATGGTTTGGGTGGGATGCTGCCAGCCACTTCAGAGACTAGAGAGACCCTTCCTGATAATGAACATAGAATAGAGGATGGGATGGCTGGCAAAAGTATCAGAATACTCTAGAAATAATCATGAGGAATATAAACTGGGGAGTCATATGTGTAATCTTTTACACATGTTTATAGATCAGACCTAAATCTTTTAATACAAATTTGGTATTAAGCACATAGAAGGCATTTTATAACAGAGCCAGAACAGGGAGGGCTTAGACTAGCTTACCTCAACAATCATACGACTGAGTTTCAGACATAAACTTGACTTCTCCACAGTAGAAGAGCCAAATAGTGAGGGATGAGAATGGAAATCCAGGGCTTCTGGCTTACTGTCCACGCTCCCTCCATGCTGACATAGTTTTCCCTTCAGATATTGTTTTCCTTCAGATTATCCTATCGGTGCCTACCTTTACTTTCCCAGAGCTAGGACTTCCACTGCATCCTTGCTGATTATGTAACTGGTGATTTAATAAAAATAATTATTTGATATGCCGTTACAAGTACATTGCTGGACTGCTCTAGGTTATGCAATATACTTTCCAAAGGTGCTCAGTGATCTTGAGTGGACACCACATATTACTGGTGGTAGGTTAACTGCAATACAACCTTATCACTTCCTTGTAACGGCCGTTTCTTTTGTAACGGCCGTCAGGTTCTGTTACTTTGTAAAGGCCGGCCGGTTCTGCTGCTCCGGTCCACAGGTCAGGGTCTAGCAAGAGAGAGAGTGGGGACGGAGGAAGGGGAAAAAAGGGGCGAGAGACGCAAAAGATAGATACAAGACAGAGTCCGGTGGCGTCTCTTCAAGTCTCTTCTTTATTCTCCTCTCTTCTTACTATATTCTCACTCCTTCAGTCTCCTGACACCTCTCACTTTCTCACTCCTTCCTCTACTTCCTACTTCCTACTACCTCTTACTTTCTACCTCCTCCTCCCTACTACCTCCTACTTTCTACCTCCTACTCCTCACTCCTCAATAGAAAGGAAATCCGGGTATTTATACCCTTTACCACGTGACTTGCCCTCGTGGACAATCTCAACTGAAGCCACTACGTCACGTGCCTTGTAGCCATGGATACCAGGAGCACCTGGCAGCTGGGGGGCACTAAACAGTGTAACAAGATGTTTATCAGAGTGCGCTCAGCTATTGCAGGCTGTTGAAACAAGTCTCTTGTCAGGGTATATGGCTCAAGATGGCTGTAAAGATGATAGCCACTTTCGGCTAAGAGTCGGCTCCCAACACTTCCTTTTGTGGTTCTTTTTTTTTTTTTTTATTCCACCCAGTACTGGGACCAAACCAGTGACCTTAGCATCCTTCCACTGAGCTAAATTCCCAGTTTTTCCTTTTTCATTTAAAATAACTTTTTATGATCCTTAGGACAGTGATTTTTTATCATAGTTTCCAGCCACCAAACATATTCAAACAACTGTCAGGAGGCTCCCTGCATCTCAGGTGCACAGGCTGAGAGGCCTCCGGAGCAGAGTCCTTGAACTCTCTTTGAGTGCTTGTCGGACACTCCACTTTCAGTGGACACAATAAAGCTGTTTGCTTCTAGGAAGGATGGAAAGAAAAGTGAAATGGAGGGATGGATGGGGAGGGAGGGAGGGAGAAAGGGAAGAAAAGATAACACAGAGAAGCAAACCCTACAGTGTTTACGTCACTGCAGAAGTCTGAGGCTCTGTAAACCTTCAAATTTGCCTGCAAAAACCCTTTGTCAGTAGGATGATTGCTAGTTTTATCTTAGACTTTTTCAGATGAAATGAGCAAAAACCAAGAACAATATTAAAGATGAGTTCCCTGGTATTTTTACTCCCCTGAAACATACACACGTTTATTAATCTTTGGCTTCCACATCAGAACTAAGTGGTAAACCAAAAAGTACAGCGATGCCTATGACCTCACTTCTGATTGTTTCAGGTTATAGAAATGAGAATGGAGGAGGGATCAATTTTAAGCCTGCCCAGATGATTCTAATGTGTAGCTGAGACATTGTTCTATACAAACTCCGTAGTGCCCGCATGGGTGTCCTATGCAAGATGAAGGGCAAAGCATAACACATTTGAGAATTAAATTACTCATACCAAAAACATGGAGCAAAGTAGAGAAGTTAAGGTATTCCATCTGGGGTATCTTATCCATCTGTGTATATCTTTAAAATCAGTAAAAAAAAAA